TGATCATACAAGCTCTTGCAGCTTTAGAAAATGGCAACTCGCCTCAAGTCTGGCTTGCGCATCTTAAGCAGTAAACCTTTGTCATGGTCGTTACAACCCAAGTTATTATAACATTGCACTGGGATCGACATGACTTTCCTTGTTATTCTCTTAGTGTTGGAAAGCCCTTGCACTCTGCCGGTATTACTGCCATTGCACGCAGATGGGTTTCCACACTAGTACTTTTCTATCGCCTTGAAGTCCGTGCCTTTCTTTCAGGGTCCTGTCAACTTGTTTGTCATTATAAACAGCCACAGTTCAGCCTCAGCTATCCCCCTTCGTCCACCATCGTCACGATACAGGATGCGAGGCAAGGCACTGCACTTGAGTGATCCTTGACGTGGACCTCAAGGAGAGCATGTCCTATTGCATGCGGGTTAGACGCGTCCACGCCCCGCCCCACGAAAAAAGGCGTCGGCTGATATGGCTTCAGATCTGGGGAAGGCGCCTCCTTAGGACTGAGTCATACTATGCAGCCACTTCTGCACAGTGGGATAGGACCTCTACTCTCGCCTGTATTGTTTTAAGAAAACAGAAAAGGGGGAACTGTGGTGAGCCGCTTCTGCCATTTCTGCATACTATGGTCGCCATTACAAGATGACGCTGGCTCCGCTGTGGTCTGTGACAAACAACTCCTTATCTGGGAAAGTTGGCACATGATTTTTCACCACCCTGTGAGAAAGCTCCACGCGGCAGCTTTGCATTGGGGCTTGGGATGCTTTATTAAGGCTGGGAGGGGCATCCGAGAAAAAGAAGAAGAAATATCTAGGGCCTGAATAAACTGTTGAAAGAAGATTCCCGAGTTGTGTCTTCCTTGCGGGCAAGGGGTCGCGACACTTGAAGAAAAAATAAAAATCTACAGTCACAATAGGAGGGGGCTTGGGCTCAGAGGCCAAGTCCAAAACAAATAATTGAGGCTGGTCTGGTGATAGAGTTTGAAAGACTACTTGCAAACATTTCTGTCTCATTATACTACTGCCTCACAAGTCCATGGTGGTAAGCAGAACAGGCATTTACCTGCAAATGTCATGATGTTATTCTCTTTTAATGCTGAGTAATATTCCATTGTGTATATATGCCAAATTTTCTTTATCCATTCATCTACTGATAGGCATCTAGGTTGGTTCCATAGTTTAGCTATTGTGAATTGTGCTTCTATAATCATTAATTATGATCAATGTGGCTGTGTCCCTGTAGTATGCTGTTTTTAAGTCCTCTGGGTATAAACCAAGGAGTGGGATGGCTGGGTCAAATGGGTTCCATTACCAGTTTCCCAAGGCATCTCCATACTGCTTCCATATTGGCTGCACCAATTTGCAATCCCACCAGCAATGTATGAGTGTGCCTTTTTTTCCCACATCCTCAATAACACTTACTATTGTTTGTCTTCATAATAACTGCCATTCTGACAGGAGTGAGATGAAATCTTGAGTAGTTTTGATTTACATTTCTCTGATTGCTAGAGATGATGAGCGTTTTTTCATATATTTGTTGATTGATTGTATATCTCCTTCTGAGAGATGTCTGTTCAATTCCTTGGACCATTTATTGATGGGGCTTTTTTTTTTGGGGGGGGGGGCATTTAGCTTTTTGAGTTCTTTATATACCCTAGAGACTAGTGCTCTATTTGATGTGCAAGTGGTAAAAATTTTCTCCCATTCTGTGGGCTCTCTATTCACCTCACAGATTGTTTCATTTGCTGAAAAGAAGCTCTTTAGTTTGAATCAATCCCATTTATTGATTCTTGATTTTAAAAAAATCTCGAAGGAAAAAAAACAGGGATTGTTTTTGTTGGAGATCAGTATCTTTCCTGCTTCCCTTCTCATCCAATGGGTGGGGTCACTTGTTCTTAGCTGGTATCTCTGCCTTCAGGATGGTGAAGGTAACCAGGGAGGAAGGATTGGTCCTGGGTAGAGGGTACATGGAAGTGGGGTATGGGACCTCTCAGTCCCCAATGAGAGATTGCACCTCAAGGATCTCATTTTGGGCCTGCTCATGTGATGTGAGTGCCTGGTCTTATCTCTTTATCTCACCTGAAGAGCTTCCAGTTCCTGGTCTCTGTGTTAGCCTGTAAACTGTATCACACTCACCATCTCCCTTACTGCTTTCTAATAAGACTCCTTTGCCTCTGGGGCTCTTGTGTGCTGTGTACCTGCCATGCTAAGAGCTGTTTTGTGTTGGGCAGTCACTGTGCCAGGTTAGAGACTGCTGGGGAGAGGGGGGAGTTAGTAACTGGTACCTGACTAGCCTGAGTTCCAACGTTGGAGTTGCCCCCACTAAAGGTGGTGATGAAGGTGACCCAAGATGGAGGCGATTGCTTTCAGCGATGGGGTGTCAGTTGGGTGGGGAGAGCCAGGCGATGGCATTGGACAATGAATTCAGAGACTAGCTCTGCCATCCTGAGGGCAGAGATACCAGCGTGTGGCTGTCAGCTGTCTTCAGAGCCTGGGGGAAGTTCCCAGGTACAGGCAGGCTACCGCACATAGGGGACTATCTTCGCTGCTGCAGAGTCCCAAGATGGAGGCAACAGGGGAGCTCCATGTTGGTAGATAGGGGTCCACATGGGAGTGGAGGCCAGAGTTCCTGCATATTGGGTAGCAGCCAGGTGTCCTGCATGGGAGCTGAATCTGGGATTTGTGCTTGGGTGTGTGGCCGAAAGTTCTGGCAGGTGCTGATGCCAATGGTCCCACTCAGTTACCCATTAGTCCTGCATGAGCAAGTAGTTGGGAGACCTACTCAGAGGCTGAGGCCTGGAGCCCTGCCTGGGCAGGGTGGCCATGCTTCCTGCGCAAGGAATAAGAATATTGCTTGCAGAAAAGCAGTATTCTCACTACTTGAGTCCCATGTCACAGAGTGACACAGAATGCTGCCTCCCTCTGGCCCGCCATCTTGGATTACCCCAATCTTAATTTTTAATTCCCTGTACAGGAAAACAAAACAAAACAAAACAAACAAGCAAACAAACAAAACATTACACACATAGGCTCAAAGATAAGCATAGTACATTTCTTGTTGCAAAACGATTCTCATGTCTGAATATATACCTCCCAAATTCATGTGTTGAAGTTCTAAACAAAAGTACTTCAGAATGCATAGAGACCTTAGAGGTAATTAAGTTAAAATGAAGTAGGTTGGGTCCTACTCCATATGACTGGTCTCCTCATAGGAGGAGAATAGAACCCAGGAACACAGAGGGAAGACCACGTGGAGACAGGGAGACGATGGCCTTTCACAAGCCAAGGAAAGGTCTCAGAAGAAACTCACTCTAGTAACACCTAGATCTGGAACTTGTCATCTCCAAACTGTGAGAAGATAAATTTCTGTGGAGCTTTGTATGGCAACCTGAAAAATTCTGTGTAATAATAGAGCAAAATCTTTAAAGGGCTGAAAAAAAAATCCTGAAAATATTGAACTCCACCTCCAACAAAAATATCTTTCAAGAATGCAGGTGAAGACATTTCAAGGCTGGAGTTGTGGTTCAAGTTCAAGGCCAATCTGGGCAACTTAGTTTGACTCTTTCTCAAAAAAAAAAAAAAAAGTGGAGTGGGGAAGGAGCTCAGTTGTAGAGCAGCCAGAATTCAATCCACATTACTCTAAAAATTATTTTTTAGGCATCAATATCTAAGAGAATTTACTGCCAGCAGACCTGAATGAAAATAAACAATGACAAAAGTTCTTTAAGCAGAAGGAAAAATGCTATTAGATTTGTACAAAAAGCTAAAGAGAATCATGAATCATAAATATACAAATACATAAAAATTATTTTTTCAATTTTTAAGTGTTAAAAGCAACATTAATAAAAGTTACACACTTTGCATATAAATAGGATGATTGTTTAAAGTAACAGGATGAACAAAGATGTATCATGTAAGTACTAATGAAAAGAAAGCTGAGTGGCCATGTTCATATTAGACAAAAGCTTTCAGAGCAAGAATTATTATCAAGGATAATGAAGGATTATATCTAATCATGAAGATGAATTCATCAAGACAACATAATTCTAATATATGAACAACTAATAAAAGAGATTTAAAATACATGAGGCAAAACCTGATAGAGCTGAAAGGAGAAGTAGTTAACAAAGTAGAATGTTATGTATAATTTTTCAAATTAATATAGAATAGTCATTAGAAAAGACCATAATGTAGACCATAAAACCACTGTCAAAAGTTTAAGAGGATGAAAATTATATAAATTAAGTTATTTGATCATGATGGAATTAAGCAAGAAATTAGTAGCAGAAAGATAGCTGGAAAATCCCACATATTTGAGAATTAAATAATACACTCTAAATAATATATAGATGAAGCATAGATTGCATGAATGGTTAGAAATGTTTTGAAATGAATTGGAATAAAAAATGCAGTGTATCTAAATTTATGGGATGTACCCAAAAATGCTTAGAGAGGAACAGATATCTTTAAATGCCTTCTTATAGTAGAAAGATCTTAAATCCCAAAGATCTTAAAACCCAAAGTTTTCTCCTTAAAAGTTTAGAAAATGAAAAGCAAATTAATATCAAAGTAGAAGAAAGAAAATTATAAAGAGCAGAAATCAATGAAATTTAAAACAGAAAGACATCTTTGAAAAAAAAACCTATTCAATTGAGAAAATAAAGACAATTGAGAGAATTTTGAAGGTTGAACATGTAAAGCAGAAGACACAAATTACCAATATCAGAAGTGAAAGAAGGAATATGACCACAGACATTATTGAAAGGATAATAAAGGGCTATCATGACTAACTTGATGCCAATAATTTGAGAGAATTGATAAAATAAACAAGTTCCATTTGTCTAAAAACACAAACTACAAAGCTTTTCAAAAAGAAAGTTCATAAAGAAATATGGAATATATTTATTGGACACTTTTGGATTTTCAATAAAGTCATTCACAAATAATAACGTCATTGCTTCTGGAAAAAAAAAAAACTGGCTCAGGAGTGCTCACACACACACCAAGGACAGAGGCAGAAAACAGATTTATTGTTAGGCACCTGATAAGGCTACATTAGCAGACAGTGAGGGAGAGCAGCAGAAAATCCCACGAGTGTTACTTTTTACAGGCCAGAATCATGGCTGTCCATTAGGGGCAGGTGTAGCCCTTGTGATTGGCATAACAAGCTTCACCTGATTTTGCCAAAGGCAAGTTTCTGTTTCTTGGGAACAGAGATGGGCAAGTCTTTATCTTTCCAGGACAGAACAAGACCAAAGACTGGCAAGTTTCTATCTCAAGGACGGGCAAGTTTCTGTTTCTTGAGGATAAGAACAGTATTCACAAAGTGGGGGTGGGGAAAGGAGGATGGCTGTAATCATATGCCAACAGCTTCCTTTTGGTTTTAATATTGGGGATTAGGGTGGTTTATGCATGGAGGTTTCTTCTTCTTTGGCTACTTCCTGCTGGCATGGGGGTGAGCAACAGGGGCAGAGGCAGGTCCTAGAGGGGTTTCTTCTGTCAGGAGAGTATATTCCCTCAGAAGTGTCTCATTGACCACTTGGTTGGTCAAGGTCTTAGTTCTTTTCATGATGGCTTCCTGTAAACACTTAAAAACACATGATAATAAAAAAGTCAGGCAGAGAAATGGCAGACAGAGATCCCAGAAGGGGTAAACCCCAAGGAAGGATGGGTTCCCTCGGCTGGTGAGAGAGGAAGCAGGGAGTGGCCAGAGAACTTGAGTTTGAGCATAGCTGTTAGATTCTGTAAGGTTTCTATGTTTTGTTCCACTTTTCCTGATTGGTTGACATAGTAACAACATTGTTCTCCAAGGAAAAGGCTGGTGCCTCCCTTTCGGCTATTATTAGTTCTATTGCCCTCCTGTTTTGTAGGGTGACTTCTGCCAGGGACAGGATCTGAGCTTGTAGGAGGCAGATAGCCTCAGTTGAAGTGTCCATGGATCTGACTACTTCCTCGCCAAGTTGGTCAAGTTGGGAGGCCAAGTTAAGGCTATGTCCAAGAGCTCCCTCTTCTGTCCCCAGGGTTACTAATGCCTAGGAGGACTGGAAGGATGACTGCCCACTTAGATTGTGTTGTCACGGATGGAGGGAAAATGAATACAGCCATCTCTGCCGAAGTATAGAGAATAAGATGAGAGAAAGGACAATCAAGACACAAAGGCCTGGGGTGGAAGTATTGATGCATATTGTGAGGGAACTATTTTGGCATAAGAAGTGAGTTCCTGGGGGGCTCATGGAAGAGTCTGACCCCATAATGATATGGTGTAGAGAGCAAGGGAGCTGGTGTGGGTGTTAGTTGGGGTGTTCCAGCAAGATCTGTTTAGCCCTGCTGTATGAAAGGGCAGCTGTCAGTGAATTTTTGTAAAATGGGGATACTAGAGTTGATGGGTATGGCCACATTGGATAGGAGAATGGCTGATATAGGTTGATCATCCATTGGGCCACATATGAAGCAATCTTGTTTATAAAGGGACTGATTTACTATATGGTGTAAGACGGAGAGAGAATAATATATGATTTAGAGCTAGGAAGTCTGAGGATGTCTCTTTTGTAAGTTTTGGGAGATTTCACGGGAGCTGTCCTTTACAATATCAATGACCTATATCTAATGGGGTGTGTGGTATTTGGTCATAGGTTCAGATTATCTGGATGGATCCATGAGGGTCTGAGTTTCCTACATAAATGTCTATGGAGCCAGTTACTCCTTTTTTTTCCCATTTTGTGTCCCAAGGATCATCAATCCTGAAAGTAAGTAAAGGCAGGACACTATCATAGAGGTTTGGAGAAGGAGGGAGGTTGTCTGTTGGAAAGCAACAGTCTGTTGGAAAGAGCCATATCTACTATCCATATAATGGTCATTGCAGGATGATTTGGAACATCCCTTCCAATCCATTTCGTTGCATGTATTGGAGTTATCAGAAGTTAACCAGAGATAGAAATTATGATAGGAAAAGCTTGTTTGGATGTATTTGGCCCAGTAAAACAGTTGGTGATGCAGATCTGTGCAAAATTGAATGTGAGGGAGAGGGCCTTTTGACAGCCCTTAATGGGACAGAAGGTGGAGATGATTGAAAGTGGAGGTTTTCTGCCCATTGCATATATCTTAAACTGCCAAGCATAACGCATGCCAGGAGGAATCTGGGAGCCGTGGGAGGGAAGCAGAGAAGGAGGGGTAATAGGATGATCATGGCATATGGAAAAAGGAAAGGGCATAGAGGACAGAGTGAGGAAAGAGGTTAGTTTCAGTTGGGGTGAAGTCAATGAAGGATCCCTGAAAATGTAAGTCCCGAAGGAGCTGGAAGTGAGAGGACTTGAAGTCCTGGGTCAGAGGCCAGCTCTGTCCATAGGATGAAAAGAAATTGATAGTAACGAGAAGGGGAGAGATCCTGGAGGAATTTGGTATGGTCAGCGGGTGAGGGTTAGAGATTGTATGGGAAAGTCCCTTAGAGAAGACAGGTTAGGGGGAAGTAAGTAGTGTAGATAGTAAGGATGTAATGGGTACCTTGGGTAGTGTTGGGGGTGTAGATGTGATTTGTACAATGTCGGGGGTGTAGAAAGAAGAATGGTGTTGGATTTTTTGTTGGGGAGGTAGAATAGAGCTGCCTGCCGGACCATTTGGTCTGGCAGGCTGTTGTCTGCTGTCATAATAGAATTATCTGTCTGATGGGCTTTGCAGTGTACTATGCCAATAGGAGAGGAAGGAGGGAGCCTTTAGGACGACACTGATGTATGAAGCATTGGAGATGGAGGAGCCTTTGCTAGTCATGGGTCCCCATTCTTTCCATATTGCTGTGTGAGCTAATAATATATGAAAGGCATATTTAGAATCTGTATAAATGTTAGAGACGTTACTCTTTGCTAGGATAAAGGCTTGGGTTAGAGCTATTAGTTCTGCTTGGAGATTGGTGGTGTTAGGGGGTAGGGGGTTAGCCTCTATCACTTCTATTTTTTTTACATGAAGGCCTGCTATTCTAAGGCCTTTATGTAAAAAGGGACTCACATCCATGAACCAGGTGTATGAGGGAGTTGGCAAGGGTCCTTCCTGAATATGGGAGGGATGGGGAGCAATTGTTCTAAGGTCTCTGTACAGGAATGGAGAGGTTGATGTGGATTGGAGTCACTAGGAGGAGGAAGCAAAGTTGAGGGATGGGCAAGTTTTGAAGGTTGGAGCGGGGTCTTCCATCATTGAGATCTGAAGGGAAAGAATGCGGGAAGGGGGCAGGGTCTCAAGACCCTTACAGGAGAGTAATCCAGTTAAGGGGTGGGGGAGAGGACAGTTAGAGGTGACCCAAATGTTAGTTTCTTTGACTCCTGGATCAGGATGCCTGAGGAGGCCAGTACCCGGAGGTAAGGTGCCCGTCCCCATATTGCTGGGTCAAGACGCTCCAAGAGAAATGCCACTGCTGCACAGGATGGTCCCACCTGGTGGCCTCGAGCTCCCGGATGAATCCTTGGTTTTCTGTTACATACAGAAAAAAGGGGTGAGATGGATCAGGCAAGTGAAGGCCTGAGGCCTGCAGGAAGGCTTGTTGGAGGCCGAGGGGATTGTTGATGGGTGTGATGAGGGGCTCCACCAGGGGACCCTTTGTGCTGACATAAAGGGGTTGAGCCATCAAAGAGTGATTGGGTATCCATGCCCAAAAGTATCCTGTTAATTCCAGGAATGAGAGATCTTCAGCCTTGTTAGTGGGAACAGGAAGGTGAGAAATGAGTTTTTTTCAATCCATTGTAATGGCCTTGTGGGACAGGGTTAGTTGGAAGCCCAAATCAATGACTGCTGTAAGAGAGGGTTGAACCTTAGAGAGGGAGACACAATATCCTTGCAAGGCCAAGAAGTTCAGTAATTTGGCTGTGTGGGTTTTACATTGATATAGGGAGGGACTGCAGAGAAGAAGGTTATCCACATTTTGGAGGAGGAATGATGGTGACAAGTATAGGCAGGTGGGATTATCTCTAAAGCCCTGAGGAAGGACTGTCCATGCAAGTTCAGTGGACACCTGGATGTGTGGGTCAGGCCAGGTAAGAGCAAAGGGGTCTTGAGAATCTTTGTGCAAAGGAACAGAGAAGGAGGCATCCTTAAGGTCTAGAATTAAATAGTGTGCTGTGCAGGTGGTGATGGAGGACAAGAGAGTACATGGACTTGGAGCAATGAGGTGTACAAGACCACTGCTGAGTTGGTGAGGCAGAGGTCTTGGGCCAAACAGAAGGTGCCTGAGGGTTTCTTGACATCGAGAATGGGTGTGTTATAAGGGGCATCTGTACAAAGTGAAAGCAATAGGCCTTTGGCTAGGAGGTCATAAATGATGGGTCTGAGTCTCCTGAGGCTCTTTAGAGGTAGGGAGTATTGGGATTGGGATGAGAAGAGAGAAGGGTTTTTGGGTGTGATGAGGATGGGATCTTGGTGTGTGGCTACAGAGGGGTTGTGTATGTCCCATAACTGGGATTGACCAAGGATGGGGGCCAAGATATTGATGAGGGGGTGGTGGTAGGTGCTAGAAGGAGGAGGAGTGGGAGTGGGAAGAGTCTAGGAGAGACACCCTCCTGGGAAAAAAATGGAAGAGCCGAATTTACTTAGGAGATGTTGACCTAGAAAGGGAATGGGGCTTGGGGAATAATGAGGAAAGAGTGGTGCTGGGAGCCATTAGCCAAGTAGGTATGACAATTTCCTTGCCAGCGTATCCCATGTTGCTGACATGTTGCAGTGACATTGAATGTAGATGACCTTGCTCAAGGACCAAGGCAGATTAGGGTGTTCCCGGTTTTAAGATAATCGTGTTTAGGGCATTCCCAGTTTAGGTTCCAGGTTTAAGGTTTAAGATTATTCCTGCTGGGAATAGGGCGTATCCTGCTGCCTGAGTTCCCCTTGAGTTCTCACGGGATTCAGACAATATATTTTGGAGATAGAAGCCCAGTGGAGGTGGATTTGGGAAGAGAACGTGGATTTCCCCAGAACGTGATTGTAGACGGCTGGTGTGAGTTCGGGAATAAAGAGTTGCTGTTTGAATCTACAAGCTGTGTGGTGGCTCGTGATTGTGTGCCCAGCCAGACTGCGGCATTTGTGCCCAGCCAGACTGCGGCAGAGTGGGAGAAAGGGATCTCGTGAATGGAGCATGTGAGAGGTGGGGTTCATAATGGTTTATATGGTTTGCCTTCTACCCCAACAGTGGAGGTTGTGGAGGTAGAAGTGGGTCCCCCAAATTGGACAAGTACTGAGAATATAGCCCAGGTGTCCAAGAGGAAAAGGATGAGCCTACCTGCTACCACAATGGTTACCCTGGGTCCCTGTGATGGTGGTCTTTGGGTGCTGGGATCCTGGACCCTGTTAGTTGTCTGTAGCCAGTCCCAGAAGGTCTGCCTGTGGTGAGGTGGGGCTGTGTGACCTCCTGTCTCTCTGGGCAAGAGGGCAATCAACAATGGCCCACCTGGGATATTTAGGACAGGGAGTGGGAGGTTTTCGAGAATTAGAGCAAAATTTTGCCCAGTTGCCCAGCTGACCATACCTATAGCATGTTCTGGAGTGTTTTCTGTGGGTTGTAGGGTCAGTGTTAGCAGCGGGAGATTGCAGAAATGCTTTGGTTAACATTTGATATTCAACCTTGCGGGACTTTCCATCTCTGCCATTGAAGGCTTCCTCAAGTACTTGAGGCTGTGGGGTGAGGGGACCTTGCTCCAGCTTTTAAGTTTGGCTTTAATGTCAGGGAAGCTATAGGAGAAGTACATCATGAGTAAGTTTTGACCATCAGGTGACTTGGGATCTAAGTTGGTATATTGGAGTAGGGCTTCAGTCAGGTGGTTTAAATAGGAAAAAGGGTTTTCATTTTTATCCTGAATGACCTCTTAGAGATGATCATAACAGATGGCTTTATGAGCTGCCCTGTCAGTAGGCAGGTGATGAATTGGTCCCTTCTTGTCTGACCCTCTGGAGAATTATAATCCCAATTGGGATTTTGGTTAGGGACCTACTCAGTGCTCATGGGCAGGTGTAGTTTGGTGGACTTCATCAGCATAGTTGTGGGCTTGTTTCCAGACTCATCATTGCTCCTCTGGGAGGAGGGTGTTGGATAGGAGCATGTGCATATCATGAAAGGTGAGGTTGTAGGCCGGTGTTATGGATTGTAACTCCTTGGTATATATGTGACAGGGTTGAAGGTCAAGGACCCTACTGCTGAGAATGTGGGTTACATCTCACTCATCCTTGGCACAGAGCCCGGGGTATGCTAGGATTTTAATATGTTTATTGAATGAAAGAATGAGTAGGTTTTCCAAACTAAATATTATTAATGTCCCTTTGGCTACAAAAACATTGATTTATTACAAAATCCTTTGCGTGCTCTCAAGTTATTTGGTCATCTGGGCTTGTTCTATTGTTTCATTGATTGATCTAACACATGCTTCGTTCCTTCCATGTACAGATACTGAGCTGGGCTCTGGTGAATGAAACAGACAAGAACTGACTTATGGGTCTGATATTATTATCTGACATTTGAGGAGTAAAATTATTTTTATGAAGATCTGTTAAGTGAGGGCTGGCAGAAACTAATTTTAATATTTAATGTGAAATCTGACCTCGAAGAACAGTAGAACTCCACTCTTCTTTCTTCTCTAAATTCTGTTTTTCCTTTATACATTGGCTTTTGTTTCAAAAGTTTAAAGGAAAACATCCTGTGGGTAAGTTAAAATGTGTAGAAAACATTTATGCTAAAGCATATAGCCTTATGGTTGCTTATAAAGAAATTTAAAAAGAAACTGATTACTTCTTCCTGATCTTCATTATGGCTACTTCAAGAAACATCTTGGAGATTGTCAAATTATGGATAAGTCCAGAGATTTCTTATTATTACCTAATAAGCATTATTTTAAAGTCCTTGAGTAAGTAATTACAAGTCCTATACTTAACATGAAAGAACACAGAGGAAAGCACACATCCTGGAAGGGCCTTAGACAATTAGCTGTCCTTATGGCTTTGACACTCATTTGCTGGTTAGTTTTCAAGAAAGTCAGCAGACACTTCATATGTTTCTTCATCAGCAAAATACACATGATACCCACTTCCCTCATGTGGTACCCTGAAGATTAAATGTAACAGTGGACACATGGATGCATGAAATTATTTTGTATCAAAATAATCTGTGATTAAAAAGTCCAGACTTAAGTCTTATAAAAATGAAATATTTTGTCTTCCTTTTGCCAGAAAATAATTCTATCAGGTCAAATAGTCCAGATGACTTACCTTTTTTTTTTCTTTTAAGAGTGCTTTGATCAGTTAATAACAAGAATCAACAAATGGGAGTTAATCAAACTAAAAAGTTTTTTCTCAGCAAGAGAAACAATAAGAGAGGTAAACAGGGAGCCTACATCATGGGAACAAATTTTTACTCTTCACACTTCAGATAGAGCCCTAATATCCAGAGTATACAAAGAACCCAAAATATTAAACAATAAGAAAACAAATAACCCAATCAACAAATGGGCCAAAGACCTGAACAGACACTTCTCAGAGGAGGACATACAATCAATCAACAAGTACATGAAAAAATGCTCACCATCTCTAGCAGTCAGAGAAATGCAAATCAAAATCACCCTAAGATACCATCTCACTCCAGTAAGATTGGCAGCCATTATGAAGTCAAACAACAACAAGTGCTGGCGAGGATGTGGGGAAAAGGGTACTCTTGTACATTGCTGGTGGCACTGCAAATTGGTGCGGCCAGTATGGAAAGCAGTATGGAGATTCCTGGGAAAGCTGGGAATGGAACCACCATTTGACCCAGCTATTGCCCTTCTCAGACTATTCCCTGAAGACCTTAAAAGAACGTACTACAGGGATACTGCCACATCGATTTTCATAGCAGCACAATTCACAATAGCTAGACTGTGGAACCAACCCCGATGCCCTTCAATAGATGAATGGATAAAAAAAATGTGGCATTTATACACAATGGAGTACTACGCAGCACTAAGAAATGACAAAATCATGGAATTTGCAGGGAAATCGATGGCATTAGAGCAGACTATGCTAAGTGAAGCTAGCCAATCCCTAAAAAACAAATGCCAAATGTCTTCTTTGATATAATGAGAGCAACTAAGAACAGAGCAGGGAGGAAGAGCAGGAGGAAAAGATTAACATTAAACAGAGTCATGAGGTGGGAGGAAAGGGAGAGAAAAGGAAAATTGCATGGAAATGGAAGGAGACCCTCATTGTTATACAAAATTACATATAAGAGGTTGTGAGGGGAATGGGAAAAAATAAGGAGAGAAATGAATTACAGTAGATGGGGTAGAGAGAGAAGATGGGAGGGGAGGGGAGGGGGGATAGTAGAGGATAGGAAAGGTAGCAGAATACAACAGTTACTATTATGGCATTATGTAAAAATGTGGATGTGTAACCGATGTGATTCTGCAATCTTTGTAATGTTTTGAATAACCAATAAAAAAATAAAATATAAAAAAAGAGTGCTT